CTCTTAGGAAGGGGTTTTACTGAAGAGTCTCACGACATAGTTCATTCATTTTGTTAGTATCTATGACCTAAACCCTAAAGGATTACCTGCTGTTTTATTTGTATTTTTAAAAAATTTTCCATAGCAAAGGATAGCTATTGAATCTGCTCACAGATCTCTAGATGTGACTACTTTGTAAGCACTTATATTGCACAAAGTGGCAAATACAAGGTAGGTCTGAGTAAAAGAATTACAAGAAGTTGCTGGATATGAATAGCCAGGTTATCTGAGTGCATACCTGCACACTCACAGAAACCGTTTCCTGCACTCCATGTGGCTGGGGTTGGAGGAAGAATGGATCCTAACACCTGAGTTTTGAGAAAGAGACTTGGGAGTCTGGTGGCGCGCAGCAGTTAGAACTACAAAGCTATGCAATTAAAAGGGAAGTGATGATTGGCTTTTTAATGGGTTTTCCCAGCTTACACAGAAACTGACCATTACACTTGCTGTTTCTATCGTGAAAGCAAGTAAGAGACAGAGGGGAAAAAGAAGGTCTTCTCCAGGGACATTTGCTCTGAGCACTTCATTATCCTGCTTGAGTGGAGCTGGGGAGGCAGAGAGAGTTCTACTGGGCACAGTTACAAGAGGCAAGAGTCTGCCATATGTCAACAAACTAGAAAGCAAGGTGAAATAAAGGGCCCCCATTTTGTGAATTTATGACCCCTTTCTCAGGGAAAGAGAGATAGTGACAGATGTAAAGCATCCATAGGGCCCCAGGAATAACCCACCCCCTTCTTTCTCCAGGACCCCCAGCACAGGTGACCCAGGTACCTTGTAACCCACCCTGTCTTTCAAAGAAGTGTCTACACTCTTAGCCTGCCTCAAGTCATCAGCCTTGGCACACCAGGAGATGGGAGATTGGAGAGCTGTCAGACCCTCTTCTTTCTTGTTAAAAATTTTCTCTATCTCTGACCTAACCAGAACTTCCTCCTAATTATCTTTGAGGTGAAGGCAGCAGTAGGAGAATGTGCTTAGAAGCTCCTTTGCAGTTCTCCCGGTGGTTCTGAATTTTTGTCTTCCTTTGCTCACTTTAATCTCCCTGGTTCTGAGAACCCTAAGCTTCCAAAGAGCTAGATTTTCCCACTGGGAACTGGCCTCCTGCCTTCTCAGACTGCAAAGGTCTTTTTCAAGGTCTGCAACATCGTGGACGTTAGTATAAATTTTCACCAATGAGGAAACCCAGGCTGAAAAGATGAGGGTGTGGCCTCGACCGTGGTCCTCAAAGCTAGGATCTAAGGAGACCCCGTCCCTGACTTTTCCGCAGGCTAGGTCTCAGCCTGGAGGTCTGGGTGCAGCCTGTGTCTCCTTCCCTCCCCTCCCGGTCCCAGGGGAGATGTGGCAGAAACTCCTGTGGTGCTGAACCGCGCAAGGCCTGGATTAAAAAAACAAAAACAAAAAACTTTCCTTCATTCAGTGGCTTTGCGAGTACTTTCTCTACGTGGCGGGCAAGACTCTCGCCACGGCCCACTAACCGAGGTGACCTGGTATTTGCAGAGCGCGTCTCTGGCTCCCCGCACCGCTATCGTCCTAGACCTGAGAACAAACCCGCAAGAATGGGCCTGGAGTAACAGAAGGCAGTCCAGCAACCACAGGCCAAGGCTTCGCATTCACTGCTAGGAAGGAGTCGCCGAAGCTGTCGTTTTGCCTGAGAAGAGGCGCTTTGATGTTCCGGGTTGAAGCTGGAGAGCAGCGCCCCAGGTGTCCAGATCCCCGATGGCTAGGCCTGGCTGCAAGCTAGTGCAGCCGGGCGGCTGGGGAGCTCCCTTAAATGAGTTGGTGCCTCCTTCCCAGAGTTTTGCCTACCTCCAGCACTCTACCTACGCTATCTGGGCTGGCAGTCCTGCAAATCCAAACCACCAGGCCTGGCTGGTGACCGCCTAGGGCCTGGGAAGAGGTGACTGAAGTAGCTACTTCTACTTCGACTAAATGGAGTCTCTCCACCCCGCCATCACCCGGCCTGGACCACTTTCCTGGTCTCGCTGCCCACTCTCAAGTTTCGGTTGCTCCTCCAGTCTGCTGGATCGCCAAGTTTACCGTCTACCCACACCTTGGAGTCTCTCTCTGTTCTCATCATCCTCCACTCCTCTCTTCCAGGGCACCCCAACTTTCTCCAGCTCTCTCACCTGAACCCCCGAAGCGCAGTTTCTTCTTTCTGGTCTAAAGTCGAACCCGCTGCCAATGGAAAGGCCCCCCCGCCTAGGCAGCAAGCCACTCGCTTAACAAGTCCAAAGGTCACCTAAAGTTTGGCTGATAAACTGAACCGGTAGAGAAGGTCTGCAGCCCCCCAGCGTGAGTACAATGGGCCCTGGCCAGTCCTGCTCCGGGCCCAGTCTTCCGCTCGGTTGGACTGCCCCTTAGGCGCTCCCTCTCTCTCGGTTTTTCCCCCTCCCCACCACCATTTGCATCTTGCCGAAAGCCCGGCCCTTCCCACTCATTTGCATATCTTATATGGCCTAATGGTGGCGATCATGGCAAGTTAGAAGTTTGCAGACTCCTCTCGGAGGGGACTCCGGGACCCCGGGGAGTAACAGGTGTCTAAGCTAAAGGGTGGAGGGGTTCCAGGACTCGGGGTTCGCTTGTGAAACTCCCCTCCACCCTCCTCTCTCACACACCCATCCCTTTACCCCCTTCTTTTTCCGTCCTTGGAAAATGGTGTCCAAGCTCACGTCGCTCCAGCAAGAACTCCTGAGCGCCCTGCTGAGCTCCGGGGTCACCAAGGAAGTGCTGGTTCAGGCCTTGGAGGAGTTGTTGCCGTCCCCGAACTTCGGGGTGAAGCTGGAGACGCTGCCCTTGTCCCCCGGGAGCGGGACGGATCTCGACACCAAGCCGGTCTTCCATACTCTCACCAATGGCCACACCAAGGGCCGTTTGTCCGGGGACGAGGGTTCGGAGGACGGCGACGACTATGACACCCCTCCGATCCTCAAGGAGCTGCAGGCGCTCAACACCGAAGAGGCCGCGGAGCAGCGGGCGGAGGTGGACCGGATGCTCAGGTAGGCAGAGACCGAGGTGCCGGCTGCGCGCAGAAGCCCCTGCAGCCCCGGGCCAGGAGCCGGAGGCAACCGGTGCCGACTGCTCTCCCCCCAGCCCTGGCCCACCTAAGAAGTCCCCTTGGGGGGCGCTTCGCTCCCCTCCCAACAAATGGACCCTTCCTATTGCTCTGCTGGGCGACCCAGGGACACTAGGCTGCAACAGCCTGCGCCTAGGCCGGCTCCCAGAACCCAAGCGCCTTCCCCGTGGGATCCAGGCTCCTCGGGGAGAACCAAAGGTGCGGAGACTTTGGCCCGGAGGTCACAACACTGGAGGGGCCAGCGGGAGCAGTGAAAACAGTTGCGATTCCCCGGGACACGAGGCTTGTGCCCCCACCCGCTTCCCAAACCTCAGGCCGAGCATTTCTCCCCGGGACACGAGGTTCTCTGCAGAGTGCCAGGCAGCGCCAGGGGCTGGGGCCTGGAAGTCAAGTTCTTAAGTTGGGTGCTAGCGTCTCCAGGGCCCGCGCAAAGTTTGGATTTTATTTGCAAAGTGGAAAGTTTGTTCTAGGGGCAAAGTGGTCCCGCACTGGGCAAAAGAAACCACGAATACAAGCAAGGGAGAATAGGTTGGGTCCATGAGTCTGACTCCCTTCACAGAGGGTCTGGTCTCCATCTGGGACCGGTGGGCGTGTAAGCGTGTCGCCGGCGACACCCCTGCGCCCCTCCGCGAATTCGGGCAAGTTGGCCGCCTCTCGCCCGGCGGGGATCGGTTGCTGGTCCTCTAGCACAGATTTGCGCTTTGACAGCTAGTTACTAATTACCCAAGGAGCTGAGCAGTTCCCTTAGAGCACGTCGCTCCGGGGCCACTCGGCTTTAGGAAGGAGCCCCTTGCGTGGCCTCCCACACTTAAGCCCCACAGTTTCCAAGTTTCAGAGTCCAAGAGTAAAGTCGTTCCTGGGCTTCGGGGCGGCCTCTGCTCCCCTCCCGCAGCGCGGGTTTGCACTGGGAAATGACCTTGCATTTGAATTTGCGCTTTGGGGACCCGGCCGCTTGTCTTCTAACGAGACAATTTGGAGAACTTCTAGATTTGTATCCCCTCCACCCCCCACCCAATGTTTTTGCTGTAAATTCAGAATCTTGCGCTGTTTCGCCGGGTGGCAGTGATTTCTCCCCGACCGGGTTTTAGGGGCTGGATGGTGTCCGGCGCAGAGGGTTAAGGAGCCCAGAGTCCCTGGGAGGGGCTGGGGCGCCACTGCGGCCGGGAGGTTCATCTGTGCTGGATGCACCCACCGGCTCCCGCCACCAGCCACCTGGGGCCTAGGCCCTGCATCCCAGCTGCAGTCCGCCCAGGACTTAGAAAACCTTGGTAGGCCTAGGGCGCCCGGGTCCCCCACGCCCGGCTGGACGCAGCCGAGATGTAACATAACCTGCAGCACGTGGAGTTGGGGTGTTATTAATTTATTCCTATAAATCATCAACAGAAAGATACACAAAGAGCGTGATTAAGTTGAAAAGAGAGGCGGGTTATTCATTGGTGAAGTTGTAAACGCGGCTTAGAAAGCGAAGGAAATCAAAACGCTGACGCGGGGGTGCTCGCTAGGCGCTCGCGGCCACACGCACCCCGCCACGGGGCGCGCCCTCGGGTCCCCACGCCACCCACCGACCCCCAGGGATACCGACACGACCTCCGCAGGCCCCGCGAGTGGAGAGCCAGGCCGGGCCCGGGGGTCTCCGGACCTCAGCCCTGTATAGGGGGAGTAGGAGGATTAGAAGGTGGGGAGCCCAGACTCTCGCTGGGGTGGGGATGCAGGACACACCCTGAGGCTTTTGTCCCTTTCACAAGCGGGTGCCGCTTTCCCTCCCCCAGCCCAGGAGTGTCCGACTTTATTAAAGTCATTTTTCAAGAAATTGCTAGCACTTCCCAGGTCACTGCACAGCCGGCTGCAGCAGGCACTCCCTTTTTATACCCACCCTGTTCCCCTCTAAGTCCGACAGAAAAGAAAGGTTTGTGGTGGAGGTCCCTTTGGGGAGCGCCTGGACGCCTTCACCCCTTCTAGAAGGACCCAGGCCGGAAAGGAACGTTGGGGACTGCGCGCCTCCAGGTCCCCAGCTGCCGGCCCTGCCGCCTCGAGGCTGGCGCACCCCGGGGCGCAAGGGAAAGTTGGCGGCCGAGACTCCCCGACCGCCACGCGCGGTGCCCGGCCCAGGGCTTCTCTGCTGGGGCAGCGGAGTCCTTGTCGCGGAAGGCGCGCGCTGGGCGGCCGGCGTCGCGGCCTGGGTCCGGCGTTTGACACCTGCACTCAGAGCACAAAGGCCCCGCGCAGCTCGGCATCTGCGCGTTTATCCAAGCGGGGAACACCTGAGCTGAATTTCCAAATAACACATAACTCGGTCTCCGAGCCTTTTCTGGGAATATATGGGAATTCTAGAGTCCAAAAGGTAAAAAGGTGTAACTACGCCATTTAACAATTCTAGTCTTTTAATTGTGGGTCTTGAAGGTTTTATTTCGATATTGTGTGTGGTGGGGGCGACGGGGAGGGGTGTCTTTTTTTTTTTTTAATCATCCGGATTGTTGAGCTAATTCCCTCTTCACAGAACCATTCACACTTAGAACATTATGCTATTTCGCTAGGTTTCTTACGCAAGCAAAATAACATAGGTGAAGAATTTAAACAAAGGAAAAATGGCCAAAGGAGCTGTTAAAGCGATACAGTATTAACTTTTAAAATCCAAATACGTTTTTTCTAACTTTTGAAGCTATTGTTCGTACCTTCTAGAAATGTTTTTCCACCCTAAAAATATCTGTGGAAATGTTGGCCAGAAATAAGCTTTTAAATGATTCCTGGTATTTACACGGATATGTCTAAAATGTTTACTGCCTATTTTTCTCTTGCTCAAAGTGGATTCTCCAGGCCTGACACTCCTTTTGTTCTCGTTGCTTCATTATACTGTTTTACTTGGAAGTGCCTTTATAAATGCTTGAGAAATTCATTAACTTACATATAATTAATCTTGAAAAGTTTACATGTCTCAAAAACATCTTTCAAAGTCTGGGTTTTCACAAATTCAATAGTAAAGGCTTGCAAAGTTAACCACAATTCAAATGGCTATAAAATATTTCCTTTGATTGTTGGAGATTTTAAGTACATTAAACAAATTAATTTTATCTGACATATAAGCACCATTGAGAAATAATTGTTTTATTACTGTATCTAATTTTGTCTCTCTTTAACACCAATTTTTATTGTTTCATCTGAACCCAATTTTCCCTTTGTTTTTTCATGTTCTACCAAGCTAATATATTTATGGTTATAGAGAGCAACATATAGTAAAGGGATATTCTGTGTTAAGCATGATTACGCAAATAGCAAACATGTATGCATTGCTTCTTTGATATTTTTCTGTGCTGTGAACTGTTTTCTTAATCTCTTCATTTCAATGATAGTTCTCATTTTAAGTCATTTCTTTAGTAAGCAAGGAAAGATATCAGCAAAGTTGAAAATATTTTAAGTAAGCCTCAACGACATTGTTGTGTCTTGCATGCCTCTGTTTACAGGAAATGAAAAATATGGCCATATTCTTTACCCAAACTTGAAATGTACGGGAAGTGTCACTTTCCACATTCCTTCACCTATCAGAGAAATGTCAGCATACAGCAAACTGGGCATTTGGGATCGTTAATGTCTTACTCTGAAACTAAAACTATTCTTCCTCTTCCTCATTAGGTTTTATTTGGGAGGCGGGGTTGTGAATAATTTTTTTTTTTACATTCTATTTGCCTTTCGAGTGTTGTGATTCTTCATCCTCAGAGAACACTGTCATCACATTTTGGAACACTTTCCTAAAACTTCAAAAGCAATTGAATATTTGACTAAAAAAAGGAATCAAAACTAGGAAAGTGCTTATAAAATATCTTTAGCTGATTGCTGGAGATTTCAGAAAACACTAAACAGAAACAATTCTTTTTGATATATAGGCACACTTTAAAGAAATTCTTGTGATTCCTCCTTGCTTTCCATGGAGTGAACACACAGGTCCCACCTCTATTTTAGCAGACTCCATTTCAGAAAGAAGATAATGTGAGAGAGGTTTAAACTGAAATGGAGTGAATTCTGAAAAGCGAAAAGTGAATTCCACTTTCCAATAGAACCCTTGCTTTTTGTCTCTTGAAATTCAAGGGGAAGAAGGAAAATAGAATAAAGCAAGAAACGTTCCTCCTCTGAAAGTGTGTGTGTGAGAGAGAGAGAGAGAGAGAGAGAGAGAGAGAGAGAGAGAGAGACCTGAAGAGCATTCTTCTCTAAAACAGAAGCTTTCTGCTCCTCTCCCATTTAGGTTTTATTTTGACCCCACACCTCTCTCAAGGTTGTAGCTTGGAGAAATATGTGAAAAGATCAGTTTTGCATGGAGTATAGGTAGAATCCCCCCAGCACACGAATATTTTCCATGGACATTGCCTACCAGTACCCTAATCATCTGCTTATCTGTCTAGTGAGGACCCTTGGAGGGCTGCCAAAATGATCAAGGGCTACATGCAACAACACAACATCCCTCAGAGGGAGGTGGTTGATGTCACAGGCCTGAACCAATCCCACCTCTCCCAACACCTCAACAAGGGCACCCCCATGAAGACGCAGAAGCGCGCCGCCCTGTACACCTGGTACGTCAGAAAGCAACGAGAGATCCTCCGACGTAAGTGTTTTAACCCAGTCCCTGCCTCCACCTGCAATGACTTTTGCCCTCCCTCATTCTGACCCCATGGACTGCCTCAGTTTCCCCTCCATCAAGAAGGCCTTCAAAAGTAATTGGCAAATATAAAGAAGCTGGCAGGTGGATCTGGCTTTCATAGCAGTTGCCCAGCGAATTGGCTTGTGTCATTTCATCTCTCACAGCCCCTTGCTACCCAGCCAGTTGCTCTGAAAAGCCCCTCTATAGTATAGGCAGTGGACTCTGAATATATTTTTTTAAAAGCTTCTTTCCAACATCTTTTTCTTTGCCATCCCTTGACATATGATCATAGGTCAGTTTCTCAAGAAGACATTACAAAGAGGTCAACAATATCGGTCACCATTACTGTTTTTTTCCATTCCTCTAGAGAAAGTATAAGCAACTAAGGTATTTGTGTAGATAGAGATAATCAGAGCCTGACCCTGTTCATTGGAAAGGGGAGGGGGGTAAGGCTAAGTCCTGATGCAATTTAAAGTGCCTACTCACATTTACCAAGATTAGAAGTCAGCTGTGAGTGACTGTCTAGTGAAGATGTCATTTCCATCTGAGGCAAGACAGTTAAAGTTCCTTCATTTGGAACTTTGATCCAACAATTCTGTTGTGTTTACAAATATATTTAATTTCAAATAATTATTTCTAGTTTGAAATAAATTACACAAGAAAAATAAGGGAAACAATTTTGAACTATTTTGGAGCAAGTTGCCTATATAATGCATCCCCCAATACTTTGTACGCTGCACAAACAAGGCCATTCTATGAACTCTGTGCAACCACCTAAATTACCAAATTACCGTAGAAATACTGCTTCCATCTAATCTTTAGATTCCACTCAGATTTTACCAAGTATCCCCATAATGGTGTTTATAGCACATTATTCAATGTAGAATGCCACGTGGCAGTTTGCTGACCCAATTCGTGCCCTCCCAGTTCTCATCCCAAAGTCTTTTTCCTGTCCCAAGATTTCTTTTACCCAAGAACTCTGAGAGACTTGGGCTTTGAAATTTAGGGGAGTTTGAACCGCTCTGGAATCACAGCAGTGTGAGCAGTGAGCTTTTTACATTTGGGGAAGTTTTTCTGTGGCAGTACACTGAACTATGTGGACCCAGCCCCTCTCCTAAACTATGTGGACCCAGCCCCTCTCCCAGGAGAACGGTACCCATTCGCCACATTCCCCACACTCTTCTCTGGACTATGAATCTCCTCTTTGTCAGGTTACTAATTTCTGCCACTTTCTGGGTAGGAATATTTTTCCCTCTTAATATTTGTCCCTTTAAAAATTGTTCTTGTGTTTTCGTTCCCCGGAACACAGCTCCAAGATGACTGTATCTGTGTTTGTTGTACCCTGGGCTGGAAAAGCCTTCACAGTGGAAGGAGGTTTGGGACCCTTGTCTCAGGCTGTGGTTGTTAACTCTTGAGTTGGGCCATTGCATGGACAGAGTAGAAGCCAAATGAGACTGTTTGCTGCTTAAAGGAGGCAACCCTTTAAAGTATGGGTTGACCACACCCCCATTCATAGTAAATGATTGTAAGGGTCTAAGCTCCTGACATGAAGCAACTGTGGTTCCTGCACAGCCCCCCCAAAAAAAATTAATAATAATGCTCCAAAAGCCAGACAACCCTTGGAACCAACCTAACAGTCTGGGTTATATTTACTGAGTCCCCTCAGGAAGGGCAAGGGACACAGGAGACCCTGGACCTTCTAACAAGGCATAAGTCCCAGAAAGAGTCTCAGTTTGCTTGAGAAAGGACAATTTACAAAGTGGACGGTAGAGTCTGCGAGGGATATTTTTGCCATCAGTGTTATTGTTGTTATTGGTTTAGAGACACAGGAGACAACGAGCTTATGAAATATTCTCCCTTCTGTAAACATCATATATACACCTATTATGTCCCAAGCTCTCTGCTATGCTGTGGGGTATACAGGTCCTTGTCTCCAGGAACTTACACTCCACTGAGGGAGCTGAGATGCTTGAGTAATTAATGAAGGCTGCTTTCTAAGAGCTCTTATAAAGGCACATGCAAGGAGCAGCAGAATTGCAAAAGTACATGGAGAAATCCTAGAGGGCTTCCTAGAGGAGGTAACATTTGACTCAAGTCTTGAAGGACAAGTAAAAGACACACCATCATGGGGTAAAAGTTAGGGAGATAAATAAAAAAAAGAGACCAAGTGAATGGGGTGAGTAGAAAGAGGAAGAGATAAAAATATGGTGATACATGACTATAAATTTTCATGAAAAACTAAAACTAATAAATGGTAGTATTCAAGAACTTGTCTATACACATAGAAGCTTTTAGAGTAGCTCCCAAGCCTAGGGTAAGGTTGCTGAAGATAGCTTCTCAATGTCTTTTTTCAAATGGGCATCAAACATTCTCTGTTCCACTTAATCCTAAAGGAAGTGAAGGGGAGATCTAGTTCTTCAACTACTGAGTAGGACTGAGGCCAAGCCCCTAAGGTTGGTAGAGCCTGGATGGATACTCTGCACACCTGTAGGCAGAGTCCTGACTGATCCATGAATGCATAGGTTCAGACCTTGTGCAAGCTGCTGCCTCCTTGAGGGGCAAGTGGGAGACTGAGGCAGCCCCTATACCAGGGTTTAGCAGGCACCAAAGGCTCCTCCACAGAAGTCAGATTTGGGGAGCTTGGAAATATGTCTGGGTGACTCAAAAGCTACTGACTAGGAAGTTAGAGTCTACAGGCTGAATTTACATCTTGGCTTCTATGCCAGGCTCATAGAACTTTGGACAAGTCACCGAACCACTCTGAACCTCAGTTTGTTCTTCCTCTGTACAGTAGAAATGATGATACTTTCCCCCTGGAGAGGCTGTGAGAATCAGATGAAGGGATACATTTAGAGGGTGTGGTACCAAAACCTCACCATGGAGATGGTTCACTACCTGGGCTGTGACATCTGCTCCCTTCCCATGACAAATCTCAAATTAATCCTAGGTACTTAGGGTTATCCACCCTGGCTTTGGCTATTACTCATGGGTGATTCTCCAGGTGCAGTGCAGGGTCCACAGGGAGGAGAGAGGACATTGAGCAATCCTCTTCCCTTGAGCAGGGAACTTCTTGCACCTTCACTTGCCCCTCAAGTAACTGCACATAAAGAGGTGCTGTGAAAACCAAGTATGCAAGGTGTGAGAACATCTTGAAATGTCTCTCAGAGGAATTAGGGCCTTCATCACATCCCAACTAGAGTTGGATGATCTTCAGTACTGGCTAGTGCCCCTTGAGATTTCAGCCAGCCCCTCTCTGCAGGTTGGCAAACCTGAGTAATCAGGGAAGTAAGCACATGTCTGGGGCCCCGCATTATCCCATGGAGCCACTGACTTTGTGCTATTACGTTTAACAGAGACTGTGTCTGGGCACCAATGCAAACATAGCCCTAAGGTGGCCTAAGGAACACCCCAAGTGGGTGAGGCCCAAATCAAAGGTTTCAGTGACATTTCATCCACCCACCAGGGAGATCACTCCTGAACTGGCTGGCTGTCGTTGGTTAAACAAAAGCCCAGCCCCATCTGTAGCTGGGATCTTCAGTCCCGACTGGTTAGAAGCCCACTGCATCCTTGTGATGGGCCAAATGGAAATGAATCCCAAGATGGGTCCTAAAATCTCAGGTGTATAGACTGGAAGACCACTAAAAAGGGTTTGTGGAAGAGGTTCAAAGATTAAGTAGTGAGGAACTGGGATCCAGTCATCCAAGTTATCATTTAAAAATTATGGCACACCCAGACTCATTACCATGGAGCTCTGGAGGTTATGGACCTACTGCTGTGAAAATCACAGGAAAATATCAAGGTCTAGAATGTGAGGACACAGGGGCTAGGAAATGTATTTGTGGCACGTCCTGCTCAGCAGAGTGCTTGACCTCTATGTCTGTTCACCTGTAAAATGGAGTTGATCACCTCTGTGAACCCTGCTCCATGCAGATATGAGAAAGACAACAAAGCCATCTTCTTCAGCAAAGTGAATATCAAATCCCATTCAAACCAGAGGCCAAGAACATATCACCATGGAGCCAGCCTGCTGTCTTTCTCTCATTGGGTCAATAGAATGGATTGAAGGTCACTGTATCTGAGCCTGGAAAGTGGACAGACAGGGAGTTTCATTCCACATACGTGTATTGTTCTCCAACTCTTTCAGTGGCGTTCCTTAGAGAGGTCCTGTGTTTGGGACTCCGCACTTGTCATCTTTCAAATTATATGGGCAGATCTTGAGTGTTTTCCCTCATAAAAGACCCCTGAACACACACACACATACACACACACATACACACACACACACACACACGCGCGCGCGCGCATACGCCATTGCCCTTTGCAATCACACTTGAAATCTAAGGAGCACCCTCTCTTTTGGATACAAATAAATATACCTCCAGGTATATTTATTTCAAAGCATGATTTTAAATGGGGCTTTGTGATTTTCAAAGGAACTAACATTAGATTGACACACACACACACACACACACACACACACACACACACGCGCGTGCGCGCGCGCGTGCGCATACGCCATTGCCCTTTGCAATCACACTTGAAATCTAAGGAGCATCCTCTCTTTTGGATACAAATAAATATACCTCCAGGTATATTTATTTCAAAGCATGATTTTAAATGGGGCTTTGTGATTTTCAAAGGACCTAACATTAGATTGAAAGTTCCCAGGATAGATGAAGAGAGAGGAAGGGTAGAGAGGGCTGTGTATAGCCTCTGAATATGCTTGGCAAGTGTAAATTGCACCTTTGAACAGTTTTCCTCCTGCCCTGAGACTTGATTGAGCTCATTCACTTGTCATTAGAGTACAAGTGTTCAGGATCAAGCACATTGCTTCATGTCAGGCCAGTGAACCAAAAGGAAATAATTAATTTTCTCAAAACATTGACTTGGCTACTTCTAAGCTCTGTCCAAGAAAGGATGGCTTTGCTGAGGTACCTGAGATAAGCAGTAAGGGACCTGTCACAATGTGTCCCCTCAGGATGCCCACACGACATCAGAGCAGATCACGAAGCTTAAGGGAGAGGAATTAAGGGGTCGTCTGTCTGTCCGTCCATCCGTCCATCTGTCTGTCCATCTGTCCGTCTGTCTGTCTGCAGAGTGAAGGCTACAGGCCCTATCAAATCTACTCCTTTCTCTTTTCAGAGTTCAACCAGACAGTCCAGAGCTCTGGAAATATGACAGACAAAAGCAGTCAGGATCAGCTGCTGTTTCTCTTTCCAGAGTTCAGTCAACAGAGCCAGGGGCCTGGGCAGTCAGATGACACCTGCTCTGAGCCCACCAACAAGAAGATGCGCCGCAACCGCTTCAAATGGGGGCCCGCATCCCAGCAAATCTTGTACCAGGCCTACGACCGGCAAAAGAATCCCAGCAAGGAAGAGAGGGAGGCCTTAGTGGAGGAGTGCAACAGGTAACAACACCAGAAGCCCACTTGAGCAGGCAGGCAGGCAGGCAGGCAAGCACATGGACCTGAGATCCATCCCCCACCATCCTGGGATACTGAGACATTGGTTATCCAGCTAAGTGTAACTAAATCAGGGTTTCCCAAAGCATTCTGCAGAACTCCAAATTCAATTTATTGATGAATAGGTTTGAGAAGCATCATAGGAGCATTTCCTCATAGGGAGTCATAGGATATATTCATATATTAAAAGCTCTGAGAAGGTCTGGAGAGATGGCTCAGAGGGTTAAAGGCACTTGCTACCAAGCCTGACAACCTGAGCTTGATCCTGGGTACCCACATAGTAGAGGGAAAGAACAGTTCCTACAAATTACACTTTGACCTCCACATGTACGCTGTGGCATGCTCCCTCCCAAGTAAAACAATAAATGTTAAAAAAAACAAAACTCTGAGAAGTTCTGTAGTCAAGAAACCTGAGCATTGTTGATTGTTCATCATGTAACCAATCTCTCTTCTTTGAAAGATTAAATTATTATTCCCATGAGCTATTTTTCGAAAGAAGATATTCTGGAAAACTCTGATGTAAATTCTGATGTCAGTGAAGTAAAAATCATGTGTTTCACCTCCCAACAGGCCAACATCAAACTGCTCCTCAGCCACAGAATCTGGCTCTGGTCTCTACCAATTGTATCCTTAGTAGACCAGGAGGAAACGTGGGCTGGGCACAGTGGCACATGCCTTTAATCCCAGCACTTGGGAGACAGAGGCAGGAGGATGGAGAGTTTGAGGCCAACCTGAGCTTGAGAGTGAGACCCTGTCTCAAGCAAACAAACAAGGAAATGAAAAAAACTTGGCAGGAGAATAAGAATCAGTCAGATCTCTTCAGCTTGCTCTGCCCACACCACTGACTCACAGAGTTCTTTTTGTACCTTAACTACGTATCTTTTTTTTTTTTTTTTTTTTTTTTTTAAAGCAAGCACTGGAAATCCTTAAAGAATACTTTTGGTTTCATTCTTTATCTAGTCTCTTTGATTCCAGTATTGACTCTAAAACATCTGCTCTCTGCTCTGACTGAGGCTTCAGAGGGCCTTGCTCTTTCTCTGAGTTAGGCTGGCTTGGGCAGTGGAAGGATGAAGCCAGGGAGGCCAGGTGGGTAAGCAGCCTGAGTGTGGTACTGTGTCCTTAGGCTGCTAAGGAGCCTCATCACTGAGTGTAAGAACATGGCTCATACCAGGTTGTGGGTTTCATCAGCACTCATAAACAGCCACCAGACACCTCTGGCTGCCTCCTTTATGTCCCACCATAGGCCCAGAGTGTGCATGAGGACTCTGGCTTCCCTGGTACCCTTTTGGGGTATCCAAAGCCCAGATGTCTTTCATAGTGCCCGGAAGAGACTCAGACAGAGCCAGCAAAGGACTCTGCCTTTTGTGAGGTAGGAAGAAGGGCGAAATGAGGCATCAAGAGGCGGGATCACTGGACCTTCTTCTGGAACTGCTGGTTCCAGACTTGCTGTCTAATCAGGAGTCACATAGAGGCCTATATTCTGCCTTCTAGGCAGCACAGCTTGCTCTGGGCCTACACTAAAGCTTCCCTCTGGTCCTTTCACAGATACTATATGGGTGGCCTTTGTCAGGACAGACTTTTCCTCAGCCTCCAATGACATTCAGCCTCTGCTACAGCTGTGTGCTTAGGGCCCAGCACCAACAAACCTCCAGCCACTCTCATTCACCATGTCTTCTTTCTCCATTGCAGGGCAGAATGTTTGCAACGAGGTGTCTCCCCATCCAAAGCCCATGGCCTGGGCTCCAACTTGGTCACAGAAGTCCGTGTCTACAACTGGTTTGCAAACCGCCGGAAAGAGGAAGCATTCAGGCAGAAGTTGGCCATGGATGCCTATAGCTCCAATCAGACACACAACCTGAACCCCCTCCTCACCCATGGCTCCCCTCACCACCAGACCAGCACCTCTCCTCCAAACAAGCTGTCAGGTAAGCAGAGGTCAGGCCTCCCCACTAATTTCATCCTGTTCAAGACATTTCAGAGGAGCAAACGCCATATGATGGCCACAGGGAATGTCAGAATATTCTTGAGAAAGAGTGTGTGGCTCTGGTCAGGTTTCCTCCCACTCCTTATTCAGCTACTGAGGAATATGGGACAACTTGGCCCCCAGGGACCCCTTTGTCCTTTTCTTCTCTGTCCCTGTACTCTCTGTGTGGCTGCTGACTCAGCTGCTCAGATTATTCCCTGAGAAAGCTGCCTTGTTGAGATGCCAGGTCAACGCTGCAGGCAGAAGGGGTCACAGTGGGAATCACATGTGATGGAGAGCAACATCCTGACCATCCTCTGCCATGCCTGGCCATGTCCTGCCCTGGCACTCTCTCCAGCTCAAGCAGAAGGAGAGACGAGTAGCTATTAGCAAAGGGCCACTTGGGTACCAGCCTCTGCTGTGCTCTGCCAGGGTTAGGGTGGGGTCAGTCATACCTTGTGTGATGAGTTGTCTAAAACTGACAGTTTGTACTGTGTGCCAGGCCTAGCTTGGATCAGAATGTCTCTGCTATGGGGTTCGAGTTTGTCAGAACAGAAGCCTATATCCTCAGGTGAGAAGGATAGTGAGCACTGTGTCAGTCAAGTCTTCTTCTCCTGGGTCTTAATTCTCCCAAGAAAGCTCACTTGCCAGAAATGATGTTCTTATAGGCATCTGTTTGGTCCCATGAATACCAAACATACCACTGCCTCCTGCACTGGGGGAAAACTTAAGAAGGGAAAGCCAGCCACTGTTGGAACCTCCAGACCTTCTGAAACCTGTTCCACCCCTCACCTGCCAGGTGCCTCTTTTGAAGGGAGAGGCCCAAGAGCTGGGAACTGACCCACATGTTGGGTGAGCCACCAGCTGGGCAGTATGAAAACATTAGTTCCAAGCCTGCCACCCACAGGTGATACGGTGTCTGGAACTGGAGAGTGATCAGATTGAATTCTGGGATTGGGTTGGGTTTCTCTGGGTCCTGCTCTGATGGCAAGAAGGGGCTCCACCACCTGGGGAAGAAAGTTGTGCTTATTTGTGAGAGGCAGAGAAGCACTGTGGCAAAGGCTAGCCTGAGCATGGAGGGAGTCACTTAACCTCCTTACAGCAATACAAAGCAGGGTTTAGCGGGAAGTGGTGGATGGCGTGTGGCCCATTCTGAGCAGGGCTGGAGCATTTGCCCACCATGGTGATCCCTGAAGCTGAATCTGGGAGCTGTGGGGGGGGGCGTGGTCACGTCAAGGAGTATTGTTGAAAAGACAATGGCCATTGTGCTGGGACCTGTGATCTCCACACCAAAGTCAGGGAGCCTGGAAGCCAAACAAAGGCCCAGCAGATTCTGACAAGCTGGGGTTGTGCTGAGGTCACTGCAGGGTTGTTAGCTTAGGCTCTCTGAGCCCTAGCTAGATCGGCAGAGAGCTAAGGCTACAGGTCCAGGGAGCAGGTATTGGAAACAGGGTAGGGGCAGGGGTGAGAGCCTCCATGGACATCTAGGATGGATATATCCCACTGGGATGCCTCCAGAAGTCTGGACCTTTCAAAAATTATGGAAGGATAAAACCCAGGACTTCAAAGAAAGAAACTGAGGCCCAGAAAGAGATAGTGATTTGTCAAAACTCTACAGAATGGTTAGATATCGGGTCTGTTGATACTGCAACATAAACATGCAGTGAGTGCTAACCAGCCTGGAAATATACTAGGGCTAGTCTGGGGTATAGCTCAGAGGTGGAATGCATTCCCAGCCAGCATGTTTTGTTGTGTTTGTTGGTTAAAAGAAAAAGAAAAGAAAAAGGAGGAGGAGGAGAGAAGAAATAGAAAGTGCTGGAAACAAGTAGCCCTGAATTCTCAGAACCTATTATCCAGTGGGGAAGATCTCTTACCAGCATGTAGCCCCCAGAACCAGCTGGGGATCAGGATTAACTCTGGGGGCTTCATAGGCTTTTCTAGACAGGGAAAGACCCTGCAGCTGTCTCTGGAGGACACTTACAGGACACTGTGGATATTTTTTTGGTTCCTTCTGCCTTAGTTTTAACTCAGGGATCATCAAGACAGTCCTTGACCCCAAGCCCAGAGACTGGATTCTCTGGGTGTAGTTTTGTTTTTTTTTTAATTTTTGTTTTGTTATTTTGAGCCAGGGTCTCCCTGTATCCCCAACTGGCCTGGAACTCACTATGTAGATCAGACTGACCTTGATCTCACAGAGATCCACCTGCGCTGCCTCCTGGGTGCTGGAATTAAATGTGTGCACCACCACACTCTGGCTCTCTGGGTATAATTTGAAACCTCATTTCTAAGCAGGCAGGTAACACATGTGGCTAATTCACATAACTTCTCAGAGTTTCCCATGTGTCAGATGGACCTAGCTGGGAGTATCTACCCCATAGGGTGCATGTGAAGATTAATTGGGTGGATGCATAAGCACCACCTTTCCCAACAAACATGTTAAGATCATTGCTGTCATAAACAGGAATGATGGGAAAAAAGGCAGGCAGTGGAAAAAAATTTTTTTTCTTTAATTTCACACACTTGAGCATTATTCCTAAGAGGTAATGAGATGTGTCCTGACCTTGGAACTGGAAGAGAAGTGGTTACTGTATCCTGGAAAGTTAGAACTGGAATCCTAGATCCCTGTCTCAGGCTGCTAAGATGGCTCTTAGTTGATGTCCCCAGAGCTAGCAGACAGCGCACTCAGGAAGGCACTTCCCATCTGGGGCCTCCTCAGTCCCTGACCATGCCCCAAACACAGCTGACTGCAGAAGACAGAAGAGTTGTGTTGCAGAGGGGAAACCAACACTTGAGTCGGCAATGGCAATCTCATCTCTCTTTTTTTTCCATTGTGTGTATGTGTATGTGTGTGTCATGCATGCACGTGTGCATGCATATTCACATATGTGTGGACACACATGGGGAGGGAGGGTGCAGGAACACATGCATGTGTGTGTGTGTGTGTGTGTGTGTGTGTGTGTAGGCTAGATGTTGATGTCGAGTGTTTTCCTCAATTGCTCCCCATCTTATATATTAAGGCAGGGTCTCTCACTCGAACCCAGAGCTTGGGGATTCTACTCCTCTAGGTAGCCAGCTTACTCCAGGGAGCCCGTCCCCACATCTTACATGCTGGAATCACAGGCAGTCCCTATGCCCATGGATGCTGGGACTCTGAACTCTGGTCCTCATGCTTACACTTTTACCTGCTGGGCTATATCTCTAAGGCAGCCTCTAAGGCCGAGCTGAGAAGAGACAAGACTCCAAGGCCCATGCCCCCTACTCTGTACCTTGTTTCCTCTCCAAATCCCAGTACCTGAGTAAGGAGGACTAGCAGCAGCTAAGAGCAGAATCTTTCCCAGAACCCTCTTCTTGGAAAGGCAGAGCTTCCTTTCCCTGTTCTAGCCCCTCTCAGCTGTGCTCACCGCCTGTGCCCCACTTGCCCATGGTGACCAGAGTGTGACCCTGGTCCTGGAATGTCCCACACAATAGGGGTGGCAGGAGGAGCACTTTGCCTCTGTCAGTGGCTGGTTGGTTACAAGGTGCCCTACAAACACAGTCAGCAGAATCAGCTGTTTTCAGCAGTGCCCCTCCTCGCCTTTACAATCACACAGCAGCATGCAGTCAGGGGTTGTCATGGCTTTGTCTCCCTTATGCATGCTTAATTGACAATTAAGCTAGGGCTTTGAACCAGCCTGGCTGTGGCTGATGGGCCTTCATCTTTCCAGTGAGTGTCATAGGGGCATCCTTTGTCTGCTCTTCTTGGGGGCCTACAGTTACTGTAGCAGGCTGCAGGCAGCCATTTATCTTCAGCCTAGAAGGCCTTTATCTGTTCCCCTCCCCATTCCAGCTCTGGCCAGCAGGAGCTGTCCCTGGTTATAGCCACACACACCCCTCTGACAACCCATTCTGGAGCCATTGAGCAAGCACGGAGTGATGGCCTCTACCTCCATTCTGGTGCTGAATCAAGGAAAAGGCCCCCAAAAGGTCAGAGGGCAGGACTGTGGCAAGAAAAAGGAGCTGGTTGGAGACTGGTGCTTGTATTGATTGGCTCAGAGGAGGAGGAAGTTGGCGTGGGATGGGAGCTGGGCTAGCCTTGGCCCAAACCTGTTATCTACGGCCTGATCTAGGTGGCTTTGCCCTTTGTACACTTTTCTCTATTCTTAAGTCCCCTAAACACAGCCCAGAGGAAGCAAGGGAGGGACACAAGGTCTCCCTCAACCTTTGCTCTCCCACACACATCCTTGCTCTTGTACCAGCTTTTCAGAAGGATGTGGGGATTTGCTCTGCAGTAAAGACAGTGAGGTAGAGAAACAACACCTCCCTTTCTGGGACTCCTGAACCACAGCCTAAGAGTGGGTATTGTTTCTATGGCTGCCACTCTTGCCCTGGCCTTTCAACTCTGCCTTCCTCTCCCAGTCCAGCAGACTTGGCTTCCCTGACATGAGTCAGAACTTAAAAACATAGAGTCCTGCCTCCTATCCCTCTCATCCCCCGTCTTACCTCCTCCTGAGTAGTTTGTAGGAATCTAACCCTGTGACTTAGACAAAGCAGATTCCTGGGCAGGGTACCTGTGCCTGTTCTCTCCCTGACACAAGGAAACCCCAAACATACTCAGTGGCATGATAGTGACTGAAAGTGAGGAATTACAAGAGCCTGTGCTGATTGAGTACTTCCTTGGTGCCAAGCCCTGGGCTAAGTACCTATGTGCTTAGTCTCATTTAACCTTCCCAACAAACCTAGAAGAGGTACTATCTGTATCGATATCCCCCCATTTGACAATCAAGGGAAGTAAGATGTTTAGAATGTAAATAATTTGCCCAAGTTCATAGTTAATAATCAGTGGGGACTAGTTTTGAGCTGTATAACACTGTCCATCTGGCTTTGTTCTATGCATACATTAAGAATTTTCAATCACGAGAACACACACACACACACACACACACACACACACCCCAGGCCAGTCTTCTAGATTCTTGCTGTTCC